TGGGGAATTCTAATGATCTTGTTTCTTTAAGTTGAAATTTTGAGGCACAAAATAAATATTTTAAAACTTTCCAGCTGTTGGTAACAACAAGCAAACATGCTTTCAGGGAGCCCTGAACAAACAGTGAGGTTTGGCTCTGTAATTACTTTAACAAAACATCCTAATTAAAAGGGCAATCCATAAGGAATTGGGGTATTTCTCGAAGGTACTGTTGATCTTCACACTGCTCAAGCCAAGCAAAGAATGCAAGAGGAACTATAAAAGTCACAAAGAGGGGATTGCTTTTAACTATCTGCACTTCCCACTGCATCTCCTTAGTGACTTGCAGGGCTCATTACCACTCTAATGAGTAGATCACTCCCTTGGAGTTCACCAGGAGACTCAAAAGCAAGAGGGAAAAGTTATGCAACACAATGCACCGAGGGAGGGCAAACACTGCAGTTCCCTCCCAAAAGAGGTTTCTTTGGCTACTGCAAAGAATGCCTCCCATTAGAGTTGGTTTTCAAAATGGCTGCTTCCCCCTTAGCTATAATTTCAGGTAAATCAAAGCAATTCTATATGGAAATTTCTGACTTTAGGACTCAAAACTTTCTTACATTAGCCATGAAAGCTTTAGGAGAAGTCACTTATATCTTATGATTTAAACATGAGTAAGTTAAAATGAGATGACTATTTAAAGAAACCCCCCTTAACTTAAATATATATATATTCACATTTATGTATTTATATATGGAAATAGAACAAGCTATCAGGCTGTGTGTTCTTTGGAGCTACTCACAACCACTTCTGAGATTGTCCATTTGTTCAAACATTGGTTCCTATCAAGTGTAACACTTTTTAATATTTGAATTGTGCATTCAAAGTAAGAAAAACAGGAGGAAAGAAGAGAAATTGAAATCAGTCTAGAGGAGTATCTCAGTGAAAAGAGGTTATGGGTCAATAAATTTAAAAGGCCTTAAGACCAAATATGTGTGATCTTATTAATTTCTTAAAGCCAATAAAACACTTTGTTTTACAAAGTTAGTATAACATATCTTTCCCACACTCATATAATTATATGCCCTAAAATGGCTGTTTCCATGTTTTAAGAGTGAACAATTTCAGGGCATGTGGGTGGAGCAGCCAGTTCCGACTCTTGGTTTTGGCTCAGGTTGTGATCTCAGGCTCCTGAGATCAAGCCCCAGGTCGGGCTCTGTGCTCAGGGCAGAGTCTGTTTGAGACTCTCTCTTCCTCTCTGTCTGCTCCTCCCACTCATGCTCTCTCACACACTTTCTCTCAAATAAGTAAATCTTTAAAAAAAAAAAAAAGAGTGAACAATTTCAAGTCATAATCCATAACAGTATTATGTACAAGAAGCATCAACTCCACTAGTTTTCTTCTATTAATTTTTTATTTACCTTTTTAGATTGCTAATGTGTACATTATGGACAAGGACAAGAGCTGCCTCAACAATTAAAATCCAAATAAAGAAGTGAAAGAAAAAGAGGCATTATTTGAAATATGTTGAAATGTGTTAAGATAATCAACTGGCAAATGAGTAACACTTGGATGAGTGAGGGCACATTTTAAACTAATCGTGGCAGAAATAATTTTCCCAAAGGCATTCTTTTTGAAGAATATTTACTATGCTGTCCCATGCACCCTTCCTTGTAACCTTAGTCAACCTCTTTTTCCTGAAGTTTTTAGTTCAAGTACTGTTTGTTTTCATGAAGTCTTTTCAATTAGGACAGCCATTCTCTGTTTATCTCTCAAGAGAACTGTTCCTACTATCTCTTTCATGTTTGTACTCCCCATGATTGGGCACACTATGGGTTCTTAATTATATTTCATAATAACTGCATCAATACTCAAGAAAGAAAAAAGTAAACAAGAAGGATGCATGCAGAAGAGGGACATTATTATGCCAAGAGTATAGAAACTTTCAAACAAATCTAATTAAGCAACATTTATTAAGACTTTATTCATGAACACAGCATAGAGATTCTTGATTAAAATAGATGTATGGATTGGATTATATTAAGATTGCATGGATATGAAAAGCACACAGTTAAATAGAAAGTTTGTGCCATCCCAGGGGCTGTGATTTGACATTTTGGTTCCAATAGACTGTGAGTCATTAGGAGTGAGGAGAAAGAGCTCATAAGTCAAGTGGAGAGCCCCATTCATCCTGGATATTTTATAGAACCTTTGGAACCTCTGCTCCATTTCTTTTCACTCCTTCCAGTAAGAGATATAGTCCCTTAGGTTTGGGTAAGTGATATGACCTCATTTCTTAGAATCTTTTGACTTGAATCACTATCTTTTATTGTCACTGGGTCAGTTCTAGGGGATTCGTGGAGGCTTTGCTCTGATAATCTTGGACTCACAAAACTTGGTCCTGAGTTTCAGATCCACAATTACTAGCTTAGTGACTTGATTAAGTTAGTTAAATTTTCTTAGCTTAATTTATTTTCCTTAAAAGTAAGTCTAATAATATATGCCTTATAAAGGTAAGTGAGAGGATAAAGGACAAGTGTATGAACTTTAAAAGTTATTTCTTAAATAAATAGAAAAATAAGGTATTTGTGTAGCTTATCCTGTCTTTATTCTTTAAATAAGACAGAGCACATCCTCATGACTTTAGACCCAGGCCACCCTGATCTTGTTAATACTTCCACCACCAATTGGGCTATAGCTTCAGGATGTCTATTCTTGCTATTCTGCCTGGAGGGCTCGTGCCTGACCTATTCACATGGCTGCCTCCCTCACTGCCTTAAGGTCTGTGCTGATATTTTACCCAATCAGAGAGATCTTCTCAATACCCTACATGAAACAGTTCTCCCTAATCTTTCTATTCCCTCTATGATGCTTTATTTTCCTTCATAGCATTTATCACTATCCATCTCTATCTCAATAAAATTTATACTCCTTGAGAGTAGGGACCTTGTTTATTCCTTTACCCCTGGTACCTAAAATAATGCCTATTATATATAGACCTTCAAAAAGAAATATATGTTGGATAAATAAATACATGAATGTTCCCTAATCTATTAGTGAAGGATATAAGCTTTATGAAGTGTGACTTTGTGTAGCTCTGCAACTTTTCGATTTATAATGCCTAAGACAAGTTAAATAACATCTTCTAAGCCCCAAGTTACTTTTACATAAAATCTGACATTACCTCTAAGGTTGTCCTGCGATGGCCCATGATTGTCTAATCTAATACAATTGTTTATGCTTCAACCAGGGTAATCTCTTCAAAATGCAAATATAATTAAGTCGCTATTTAAAAAAAAATCCTTTAATGACTTGCTTAGATAAAGCACATTATTGCTTTAATGACATTCTTAGAACAAAGTTCAAAATCCTTAATTTGGTCTTGCCAGATTTAGAATCTGCTATCTTACAAACCGCAACACATGTCATCTATGTGTTTCAGTCTCGATGGTCTTCTTTTCAGGTCTTGAATAATGTCATGGTCTGTCTTGACTTCAGACCTGCATTCACCTTGCCCTCCACATTTCCTCCCTCAGTCTGTAATGTATGCTTTTGCATAGCAAACTCCTGTTCATCCTTCTAGTCTCGGTTTAAATGAAAACCTTCTACATGTCTGTTTGCCTATCAATCTATCTATTCATTCTATGTTGATAGATCAGATACTACCAATATTCAACCAGGTTTGAACTAGGAAATGGCAATTTCCTATGACTTCACCTGGAATGTCTGTATTTCTTTGCTATGTTCTAAGCTCCACAAGAGAGGGTCATGCCTTTTATCTACTATTATACTCTCAGAGTTAAGCACAGGGACCAAGCCTTACTAAGTTTCCTATAAATATTCTTTAATGTGCCAGTAGGAATTACCATTACTGTGGAAATGGCATTTGTTGCTTGTTTCCCTGCCACGTTAATTATTTTGTAAAATGGAATCTATGACTATATGAAAATCATGAGCAATGGTGAATTACTTAGGGAAGCAAAAGATCAAGAAGGAGAAAAATGAGAAGGAGGAGCTCAAAGAAGAAGGGAGGACAAACCAGAGAAGGGACACTGCAACTACTGGGACAAGAATAAAAATGAGGGAAGGAGAGAGAGCAAAAAGGAGAGGAAAAGGAAGGGACATAGCATTTTCACCTTGCAGTAACTTGGAGGCCTTCAGGTCTACTAGGGAAGGAATAAGAGGCTTTCATTGTCTTTAGACAGTCATCTGGTGCCTCACATCTTCAATACATGTGTGTTTATTCTTTTAGCCACTTTTCCTTGGTCCCAGTTTTAATCACTTTGCTTGAAGTTTACCGATCACAACAAACTTCTTCTTCAAGTACCTTCTATTTATTTCTGCTTTATCACTTAGACTTTTTCCTGTCACTTCTATTGCCCATTTCTCTTGAATTTTATTTTCTTATTAGTTATGATGTTTCTATTACAAAAGCTATTCTCCTCTGCTAATTTTGAAGGTTTTGCTTATATTTAAATAACTGATATGTGACTTTTATACAAATCTAAGTATCTCATCCACAAATGTCTCAAGACAACTATCAATTAAGTAAATAAGGCAGATTGTGCCTTACATGGAAAAAAAAGATGAAATGTCAAATATTAATGACTATATCACAAGCAAGCAAAAAATATATATTGCTTTGTGGCAGAAGCAACATAAAAGAGCAAGAGAAGCTATGTAAAGTAATTATATTTCATGATTATTTTCAGAAATTGTAGCAGTTCCTGTGAAGAAAATTTTAAGGTTGGTTATTCAATAAGATAAATTTTAAAAATATTATTTCAAATTATCTTGGAAAAGTAACTTATGAAGACTGTAATTAATGCATAATTTTATGTGGCATTGTTGAAGAATCTACTGAGGATTTTGTATTTTGTTTTGTTTTGTTTTGCATGGAAGGATATAGGAGGTATAAATATCCCCAGTACTGGAATTCATCAACTTCTGTTAAGGGAGTCTTTGAAGGTGAAGTAACAAAGAAGATAGAAATCAGAACGATAGTGATTGGAGATAGGTCTTACCATCCAGATCATTCTCAGGAGTCTCTGCTGTGTACCAGTTGGAAGGTGGTCCAGTGCCATTAACTGTCATGGCCGACACTTGGAAACTGTACTGACTTCCTTTCTCCAGTCCTATGAGAGAATTTTCCATAAAGGGGGGGGAAAGTTACTGACCAACAAGTATTTCTAGCTGGGTTTCAAAAGTTTTAGTAAAATTTTAACAACAGTATAAACACTTTACATAGTTTGTGAATGTTGTGGTAATTATTATTATTTTGGCCAAAAGGGCAGAAGTATTATGGCAAGAAATCAAATTATTTTTCATATAGTCTCATTTATTTCTTTCTAGTTTATAAAATTGTATCCCTGAAAACAGCTTCTGGGCAGATGCAGAATATAAAATATGAACGATGAAGAAATAATCAAAAATAGCAAGGTTCATTTTTTCTCACAGTCTGCCTGTGAATCAAGAGGCCCGCCTATAAATCAAGAGTAGTCATTCTAAAAATTTATGTCTCCATCATTTATTCAAGGTCAGTGATTATGTTTTCTTTGGGCCAAGAAAAAGAATCCAAAGTCACTGCACTTAAGCAGAAAATAGTAGGCTTTTTGTGTTTCAAAACCATCGCAAAGCATACTTTGTTTTGCATCACCTTCCATACTAGAAGCATGAAGAAAGTCTATTTCCATGATAGCTTGGACATAAAATATTGTACACAGTGATGATATCAGGGCTTAGTTTAGAGAGCACAGCGAACACAGGTTGATGAGAAATGGCCCACGTATCACTAGCGTGATATGTATAAATTTTTACCTAAATAACATTCCTTTTAACTAAATCTCAAAGCAGTTCATTACCATGACAGATTATGGTAAAACAAATGACACTTGTTAAAAAACTATGTGACTTTTTTGAGCCATTGAGGACTTGGCTTAAACCAACAAGTCCTTAAACCTCAAGGAGTTGAACAATCTTAATAAAGCTAAAGTGGTATAAATATTTGGTAACGAGAAAAATTCATAAAGAAAATGAAGTATTAGAAAAATGATGCTTATCATGTACAAAGTTACATATTTGTGGATTTTTTTGCAGAGGCTGATGAGTAAATCTTGGTCCTAAGGGGAATTTTAACTCATTATTAATTGGAGATAATGTTTTAAGTGATGGTTAGAATGGACTTGTTAATGTCCAGGGCAGTTACCTTCAATAAATTGTACTATTAGAGAAGACAATTTGATAAACCCACCCACACAAAAGTATCTATGACACAAAATGCTATCTTCTCAAGAGGCTTCTAATTTTGTAAGATAGACTAAAGCTCCATGAAGAAATAGACTGAGAATGGTTAACACTGCTGTTGTTTTTGTTATTGCTGGTATTTTATTTGTATATCCATAGATCCCACTACACTGCCTGACACATGGAAGGCACACACAAAAAGAATGCTTTAGTGGATCTTTTAGTGAAAGATCCACTAAAGCATTGCTCAACACACATGAAAATATGAGGTTAAAATACAATAACCAACATCATCAGGTAAGCTGGTGATCACTTTGATTTGTCCCTTAGTTCACATGACATTGATCTTAATTTGTTGACATTTTGCACCCTTTCCTAGGCACCACAGTTGATTACTGAGGCACAGGGATCATAGAACTCTTCCAGAAAATTAAAAATAAGGAGAGAATTCTGGGAAGAAATGCTTACCTAATCATTCTAATTCATGACTTTCATAGTGGTCTTATCTGACATAGTTTTAGACCATCAAGAATATTCTTCTGTATTAAGTAAAAATTTAACTTTATTTTTCTTTGAAATGGATGGACAATTGTGCTAATACCATCTCCAACAATGATTGGGAATACCATCTGTGTTGGTCAGTCTTATGTGTCAACTTGGCTAGACTAAAGTCCCCACTTTTCAAACACTAATCTAGGTGATGCTGTGAAGGTATTTTATAGATGTGTCTAAAGTCCATATTCAGTTGATTTTAAGTTAGGGATATTTCCTAGATAATGGGAGGGGGTGGCTGCCGATTCAACCTGGTGAAAGGTCATAAGAGCAGAAGTAAGGCTTCCCTGACGAAGAAATTTCACCTGCAGACAGCAACTTCAGCTCAAGAGTTTCGGCCTGCTTTTCCTAATAGCCTGCCCTATAGATTTTGGAATCACCTAGCCAGCTGTCACAATCAATTAAGCCAATTTCTTGTAAAAAATGTCTTAGTACACATCACCACAGGTTCTGTTTCTCTGGTTGAACACTGACTGACATACCATCTTATCACATGCAATATTTGACATATAAATGGAAATTTTTTTGAACGCCCTATATTCTGTTCCATTCACTTGACTTTAAATCAAGTAACTTCTTGTGTGCAGAATCTATCAACTTTTAGTAGGAATGTATTAAAACATCTCAGTAGAAAGTAGATATGAGTAGTAAAAATATCTCACTAGAAAGGAGAAAGATTTCTCCTAATTTTGCCAGATTTTTATTTATATACATTGTGTTGAGGATCTGCGAGTATCCCTAATTTGGTTTTGAATAACACAAAAACCTATTAACAGTTTGGAGTGAAATTATGAGGCAATTTAGAGACCATCCATCAAGTATTTCCCCAATGGAGTCTTGCCTGATCAGCCTCACCTACTGGTCAGAATATCCCTTCCAATCAGGGAAGAGGAGCTGTTGATACATCCTCTCTGACATCTGTAGTGAAGGTTTAACATGCTGTATACATTACTGTCTAGGTCACTCTGAAAATCCTGCCAAATTTCCTTAACTATTATATTTTAGTTTAAATTTTTTTATTTTGCGTTTTATTCTAGAATATAACTGTGTAATCTCTCTCCCAAGAAACACCTATAAATTCTAGATTAGGTGTAAAAAATTAAATATATACACATAATCCTAATATCAGAAGAGATGTTAATGTTTATTCAGATGGCCTATCTAATGCTATTTAGATGTATATCTAACAAAGTGATCTTGTAAATAAAACAGGAATACCTTTGGAATGAGAAATTCACCAAGGAAGGACACCTACTCAACTCTTTTCCTTGTTAGAGAAGTTCTTCCTTAGATTGCACTGAATCTGCTTTACTATAGTATTGTCTACAGATAAAGCCTAGTTTTATACAGCAGGGGTAAAAGAAAACTAAATTCCTCTCTTAAAATATCTTTACCCAAGTCTTCTGAATCTACATTCTGCCTTTCTGAAACCTGTACCTGTGGAATTAAACCTATGACACTCTTCTATGTCTAGAGAAGTGTAGGATGCAGTGATAAGTAGAACCAGACATTCTGGATATCACCTTCAGAATTCTAGGTTGCAAATGTTCCTGCTTCTTTGTTGTGAGGGGTATTTGCCTGGGCAAATTTTAGATGTACTGAAAGCTCTTTTAACCTCAATTTCCCCTATAAAGTAATTAGGTAATAATAACTGTTTTTCCATCTTATAATATTCTTTTGAGAATCAAATGACAAACTGCTTTTAAAATAATTTATATAATTAAGCATTTAATAGATATAAAGATAAGATTTGCAAATTATTTTCTGACTTGATTTTCACATACTCTATGATTTTGCCACAGAATACATTATTACTCTCAGTCTAGAGATAAGGATAATAAGGTGCAGAGAAATTAAGCAAGGTTACTATGTGGAGCTTTAATCACAACCTGGACTGCTCTTGGGTGTAGACTCTTGGTTCTGTCCTGTTTCCTGTTGGGGCCCCAGGAACATTCTCTTTGGAGACCTACTTGGCCAAGGCTGGGACTTAAGAGAGACGTCAGTAGCAAACATAAAGTCCTGTGCAAATATGCAAGGAATTTTTGTCTAAAATGGTTACATCCAGAACTGAAAAACGAACAGGCAGGCAGGAAAGAATCCATGATTCTGTAATTTTAACAATGGATCAACCTAAGAGTTCAATAAAACTTAAAATTCAGAGTAGAGTTAAGTTTTTCTCTCACTTAGAAAAAATGTTGCCATTTGAAAGAGGAGGTATCTTCAAAAGTTGTAACAACAATCACCATGAACAAGCAATTTTTTGAGCCCCGAACCTGATTAGCTGATATATAAAGATCTTTCAAAACAGTATCTATCTATCTATCTATCTATCTATCTATCTATCTATCTATCTATCATCTATCTATCTACCTATCTATCATCTATCTATCCATCTATCCATCCATTCATTCATTCACGGAAGGGGGGTAAAGGGAAACCTGTTTGGAATCAAAAGCTTTTTTGTGTGTGTATTTCTAAAAATTGTTTTCTGGGATGTGTCTCCTGTGTTGGGCCAGTAGAAAATTTTTTAAATTTTTTAAAGAAATAGGTAGAAAAGCTTTGAATTAATTTCTTCTAGAGTTATGCAGCTCCTTTAGCTGCAAAGCTAATATTCAATTTTTATTATCCAACAGATACCCTTTTCAATTGTGCATTATTCCACTTTATTTATTCCACTTTGTGTGTTCCTTTATACACACAAAATCACACATTCATTGTCTGTGGTCAGCAACATATTACTCACAGCTTAAGAGCTAGGAGTATAGGTTTTCAATTCAGGCAAAATTAGTTTTACTCTACAGCTCATGAGGTATATTACCTTGAAAAGCTTACTTACCCTCCTTCCTTGCTTAAGTGTTCTCATTAATAAAATGGGAATATATACATAAAAAATTGTTACAAAGACTAAATTTGAAAAAAATATATAAAGTGTTTTTTCCTGTAGAGGTTTTTCAGCTTTGTCAAGGTATACTTAATACACCAAAAATTGGACATACTTAATGTATACATTTTGAGGAGTTTGGACATATGCATACATCCATGAGACCACCACCACAATCAAGGTAATAAACATATCCACCACTTCCAAAAGATTTTTCGTGTCCTTTTTTTTTTTTGTAATGGTAGAAACGCTTAGCATGGGATCTACTTTCTTAACACTGTTTAAGTGTACAATACAGTATTGTTGTTTAGCAGATCTCTAGGATTTATTCATGATATATAACTGTCACTTTATACCCATGGAACAACTCCCCATTTCACCCTTCCCATCTCTTGTGGCAACCACCATTCTATTCTCTTCTTTCATGAGTTTGACTATTTTATTTATTTTCATTTTTAT